AAAGCCTCTGGAGATGTGGTTCCTGCAAGGTCTTGGTGGACCAAGAGCCCTGGGTTGCTTTCCTTGGAGCAGCCCAGGAGCCACCATGGAGTAGGCAGTGAGTAAAGTGGGAGTTCGGCTTCGGCTTGGTTGGACTGAGACGGAGCCGGTGAGGAGGAGAAGCAAACAGGTAGTAAAGCACCCTAAGGGTCACCTTCTGAGAGTAGACATGGAGTAGAGGGATCTGCACTACTCCATGGAGGCCGTAGTAAGGAAAATGAAGGAAGAGTAAGGAATGAGTAGGACCACCTTCCGCTAGAGCAGGTTGCTCCAACACTGCCATTCAAACTTCTCCATTCAACCCATCCCAGGGTCCCACCACCCTCCTGGAAGCCCCAAGTCCTCATCCCATCCCTCCATCCCAAGCCCTTCGTCCAGCTTTAGGCCCTGGGAGCTGCTCTGAGGGCTCCATGGGGAGCTTCTCCTCACCCCACCACCAAGTCCTTCTCCTCAGGGCTGCTCCATCCATGGTCCAAGCAGCGTCAGGTCTTCGCTTTGGAGAGATACTTGAGGTTTCCACCTCCTGTTCTCCCCAGGAACATGAACTACTCCAGACTTGCCTTCCACCGAGGTCCCCTCCGTTACCTTTCTTGCCCAGCTGTGTCCCAAAGCTGGAGATGGACCTTGAAGGCCTTCCCTGGAGATCCATTCGTTCCTCTGCTGTTGTAGACCTGGAGAAGAGAGGCCGATCAGCACATCCGCTCGGAAACCCGGTGCAAGCGAGGAGTAAGGTCACACCTGGAGTTGAAGCCACCTCTGAAAGCTGCTCCTAGTAGGACCTACACCCCAAAGAACCACACAAACCATCATGGAACAGCTCCTCAAAGACCAGCTGGTCACGCTTAAGATACTACGACTTTACACCTTGCTTGTTGCAGTGCTGCTCTCGTGAGCTTCTAGCAGCATCAACCACCCCATTGACCTCTGGTGGACATTAAGGGTAGGAGAAGCAGAAGAAGCCACGTCAAGGCTGGACCATCTTGGTTCTCTGAGGTGGTTTAGGAGGATCTCAGCACCTTCAACGGGCAAACATTGTCCTTCTACTTAGACCAAGAGAACGTGGACTTCACTGGGACAAGCTGTGGTTGCCCCAGCCTTGAGGTGGTCAAGGCCAGCTTGGAGAGGTCTAATGGAAGGTGTCCCTGCCCATGGAACCGAAGGAGCTTGAAGGTCCCTTCCAAGTCTACAGCCAGAGGTTGCCCAGCCCTTGGAGACGAGGAGAACCTCCTCAACCTGCTTTTGTCTCCTTTGAGGCATGGAAACGTGGGGCTTCTCCTTGAGACCCCCATGAGATGGGCTTTGTCCCCCACTTCCCAAGTGTCTTAGTCCCAAATGGACCCCGACGGAGAACTCGGGAACCTCCATCTCCAAGGAGACAGCAGCGTGAAGAGGTTGCCAGAGGAGATGGAGGGGGCTGAGGGCCTGATGTCCATCTTCTCCTGATGTTCTACTGGATTAACAGGACCTTCAAAGCATCTTCATGGCCCCGCGTGGACAACTTCACCTCTGGGGGCGACAGCGTAAGAAGGACCTGGAGATGGTGGAGCAAGGCCAGAGGAGGCCACCACCATGGACAACCTGCTCCACCACTCTCCCACCAAGGAACGTCCTCCTTAGATCCAACCCCTCTTTCATTGTCCTATCGCTCCAGCCCATGATGCAAAGCCCTTCTCCAGCACCCTTACTCCTTGTTGTAGCTTCTCCTCCTGGTTGTAGCTTCTCCTCCTGGTTGTAGCTTCTCCTCCTGGTTGGAGAGAGTGTGGAGGCTGAAGCTCTGGCTCCCCCACCCTGTTGGAAGGTGCAGCTGCCACTGCTTGAAGAGGACTTCAAGCTCCATTTGGGCTGGAGGTACCTTGAGGAGCACTTCTCCTTCGAGAGGACATAGGGGTGGGGCTGGGCAGGATCTGCTGGTGGCCCTATGGGGCTACCTGTGACCCAAGCCTTGCATGAAGCAATGGGTCCTGCTTGGTGCCACACGGTTTGGGTGCTGCCCCAAGACCCCGTGGGCTGGAAGACACCTCGAAGCTCACCCAAGGGCCACCTTCTCCAAGGTTGCTCCACCCAAGCTGGCCTCGAGCACCGTAAGAGAAACCTCGAGAGGAACCGGGTTCCTGGGCCCCAATGAGCAAGAAGCCCCCCTAGAAGGTCCCCTAGGAGACAACCCACCACTCGTTTTTCCCTGAAGTCAATCCCTACTGTGGTGATGAACTTTGGGTTGAACTTGTTGTCCGTGTATCTATAGAGGAACGTGGTCTTCCCAACTCCGGAGTCTCCAAGGGCCAGGAGTTTGATCAAGTAGTCGTAGTCTCCATCAGTCATAGTGATGAGCTTGAGGAACCTATGGAAGAAGGAAGGAAACCCAAGGAGTTCAGGAGGAGGAAAGCCCCTTCTGGACCTTCTGGTCCTCTCCACCAAGGGCTTCTTCTGCAGAAGCCACAAGGTTCTCCAGGAGCCCACATCTGCCTTGTGCTCTGAAGGAGACAACCAAAGCCCCACCTTCCATGCTCCTACTGGAGTGAAGAAGAAGCCCAAAGGACCACCCGCTGGCCTGAGAAGGCCCCAGATGTAGTTGTCCCTACACAGCAGTGAGGAAGAGCAGCCAAGTCCACCTCATGGAGCAGGGAATGATGGAATGGTTTGGGAGGGATGGGTTTGGCTTGGAAGTTCTTCCCCATGAGGTTGGTGGGACATGGGCATGGGTTGACTGGAGAAGCTGGAGCTGCCCCATCGCTGCTTCAAGGCCAGCGTGGAGCACCCTGCTCTAGGAGAAGGTGGCCCTGTTGGAAGCAGATGAGCTTGAAGGTCCTTCCCAACCCAACCCAAAGGCACCGACCACACAGAGTCATTCAGGTTCTGCGTCCCCGAGGAACGTTACTACCAGTAGTAGTGCTACAAAGCCTTGGTGAGCCCCTTTGCCTTCTCCATCCACTCTTTGGGTGGCTTTTTGTTACAGAAGGCCAAGGAGCAGTGGGATGGAGCAAGGAGCCTTCTGCTCCTCACCTTCTGCTCCTCACCTTCTGCTCCTCACCTACAGCACAAGAAACCAGGTGGGAGCTCCTGTTACTCCCAGGAGTAAGATCAGAGAAGCACGAGGAAGGAACCTCTGGACATCCTGGAGTCCCACCTCAAGCAGGGTAATGGGAACATCTCGAGGTGGGTTTGGGAGGTTCTTCTTCATGGTGAGCTGGAACTTGGTGTGGTTCCAGTTATGGCCCTTGCTCCTTGTCCTCTCGCTGGCCACCACGGAGAAGAGTCTGGGACCATCCCCTTGGTACCACCTTGGAGGTCCCAGCTCAATCCTCTCTTCTCCAGACTAAAGGAGGCTTCTCCAAGCCCTCCAGGTCCTACTGAATGGGACGTGTGCGAGTGATGCCAGATCCAATGGAGAATCCCTTCCGAGCCACCCCATTCCATGCTTCCCAATCCCAGCCCAGGAGAAAGGTCTTCTCCTCCCTGTCTTCCTGCCTCCTGGTGATGTTCCTCCTGGGACATCACTTGGGACAGCAGCTTCCCAACGTCCTCGCTCTGCTCCCACAAGGACACCAACAAACCCACCGCATGCCAAGTTCTCCCATGAGGTTCTCCTCCCACCTCCTTCAGTCATTCCCACCCCATTCCAGCCTGGAATAACATGGAATACCAACGGGTTGGAGGAGCAGAGAAGCAAAGGACAGGCTTTGAGGGCAAGAAGAAGGAATGATTTAGGAGCTGCCACCATGAGTCCAACCCTCTGGGAATTAGCCTCCAGATCCATAAGGATACCTCTTATGTTTTGGGATTACACAGTCTGCTCCCAATGTGATTCCAAGGAATTATCCAGCTTCAGCCTGGATGGAGCTTGCTGGAAGGTGGCCCTTTCTATGGTGGATCTACCCGGGCTTTAAGGCCCCTTCCGACCCATTCCATGATCTACTTCCCATTCCAAGCACACACGAGGGGCTGAATCCCTCGGAGCCACCTTATTCCTTCGGGAAAAGAAGAGCAAATCCCAGGGAACCAGCACAACGAGTCCTTGTCATCTCCTGGGCAAGCGCTTCCAAGACCCAAGTCCTACCTTGCTCCAACAGGAAAAGCAGCTTGGAAACCCGAGGTTGTAGGGAGGGAAGAACAGCTTCTCCCAAGGGAAAATCCCACCTATCCCATTCTTACACATGGAAAATGGGCTT